ATATTTTTTAAAATTTAAATTACTTTTAATGAATGTGCAGTACGAATTTATTTTTAAAATCTTTATTATTTAATTATTATTAATAAAATTACTGTTTTCATTTTTATTGATATAATTTAATTCTTACGAAATGTATTAAAAATTGACTTTTTAGTTTTCATTTAGAAGATGTAAACAATAGTTTTTCCTCGAGTAAAGGTATTTACATACGTAATTAAAACTAATTTAAATTTTAAATTTTGATGCCTAAGAGTATGATTAACACGAGAAAAAAGGCTTCAATTTAAAAATTTTATTTTATTTTCTCTTTAAATCTTATGAAATTATCAATATTTCATAATCACTTAACAAAAACGTTAAGTTTTCGGATCTTGATTAAAGGATATTAAAGCAATCTTGCATCATTTTCATAGAAATAATCTGGCGAGTGATGTTATTTCGAGTGTTAGTTTTCCTCTAAACATCTCTGTAAATGAAAATATAATTAATAATTTAGATAAAATTTGTTCTTTTAATAAAAAAAATTAAGAATTACGGATATAATCTTCAATAATTCTTCAGTATTATCTAAATTTTCTGCACCATCGTCCAGGCATTTGACGTACTCTTCTCTATCCTAGAAGACGTTGAGATACATCAAGCTGTTTTTAATAAAAAGGAAGCAGTTGTAGAATATTCAAAAATTAATTTTATATACCTTTTTATTTGTTTCATCGCAATAATAGGCTTTCCTGGAGCTAGGAATACTTAAATCCTTATCCGGGTTTATCTTCTTAGCGCATTCTGTACCAACATCCATAATCTGGATAAAATATAGTAGATGGAGCCACCAAATGTTACCGAAAAAGTTAAGCAACTCGTTGTTGAATTTTTTTTTTATAGATAAAATAATATTAATTATTTATAGATACTTACCGCTTGCATTTTATTATCGATAACACACGTACGAGTAGCTTCGGGATTCTTATGAACTGGAAATAAACAGCATCGTTTAGTAAATGAAACTGGAAAATTTGAGTTAAAAACATAAAAAAATTTATTTTAAACTCGTTTAAAAGCTTGTAATTTAAGTTAATTAAAGCGTAACTGAATTGTTTATATATATTTCTTTTGTATGTAGAGTAGTTTTGTCTACAAATTAGTTTTTACGATAGAAAGGTGTACTTACCGCAGTATTTATCAAAGGGAATTTTACTCTCACCACTAACTGATATTATAAAAATTAAACAGAAAATGGCTAGAATCATTTTTTCTTGTTTACTTTCTTGAATATCCTTCATAACATTATCTAACGAGTATGGATTTTCTATCCTTTTATACGTGAACTTTAAGAACAATAAACAAGGAAAATTCCATTTAATTCTTATTTATAATTAAAAAACGGCTAATATCGTTAAGATTCCTCTCCCTAAGCCATGTACAGTACCTAGTCTTTTCCCCATAATGGAAGTGAAAATTTTCTGAATAACTGGTAACAATGATATGGGCCGAAAGTTAACAGGAAAGTTAACCCTTTTTGTGAATTACCTCTAACCATGATTTCGGAATCATTTCAGAGTCATAAACCCGATTAAACAATTTAACCAAGTGAGGTACTAATGAACTCCTAGAATAAGCAATTAGAGACTGTGAAATATTGTCTACCCGGGGGCAGAATGTAATTGCATCTTTTGGATTGCAATATTAACTTCTGAGGCTGAGATAGGGAGGTCCAAAAAAGAATCATCCACAGGAAAAGGTTGGATTTGGAGTAAATTTGATACATTTAAACTGAATAACTACTCATAATAATTATACTAATCTGCCAAAGAAATCTCTGGAGTACTCCTAACTCCCTGAAGACAACCTACATGATACCAAAGTTCTGGAGTCTCTAAACTTTACCAGTTGTAAGGCAAAATTACAATAATACAGTGGAACCCCGGTTAACGACCAAATCGGTTAACGAACTTTTATTTTGGAAAAATTTTGTCTCGGATAACGAACTTAACGGCTTTTTGTGTCAAATTTGTAAGCTTGCCGACTTTTAGGGAAAATCANAGTGAAGCATAGGTTATAATGCAAGTTCAATTTATTTGACAATTCTTACATCTTTACAATTAAAAGGTTCTTTTTTTTTAAAATAAATTCTATAAATTTATAAATTTCTTGATTAAATGTATTAATAAGAATACTTTACAATCAATTAATTAGAAAAAATTGATCGATGGTAAGAACTTCTTTTAAAATTATATTAATAAGCGTCCAAACATTCCTGCAAATAAAGAAGAAAATATTAATTATATGGAAGGAATTAAAATGTAAAATTAAAAAATAAAATCGTAATTAATTTACATCTAAAATTTTGAATACTTCGGGATCATTTAAAGCTCGAAGATCTTCAATAAAGCAATTTTCATATTGATCACGTTCCTTAAAGTAACAATAAAAATAAATCAAAAATTGTATTAATAATGAATTAATAAAATAAAATTATAAATTAATGAGATTTTTAAACATATAATTAATAAATTATTTATATTTTTAACTCACTTCGGGTGATGCTTCCTCACAAAAATAATCTCTTCTCTTCTCATCGTCGTGCAAGAAAAGATCTGGCTTCAGTTTTGCTGCACATCTACAAGCGATGTCGCTCACCTGTAAATTATTATTGTTTATTTTTCTATTTAGATTTGTCAAATATTTAAAAATAAATCGTCATTATTCTTTATAATATAAATAGCTATACTTAATCATTTATAACCTATCAAATTTTGTGAATATTTACTAAATAATTCAATAAGAAATATTACATAAATTTTAACATAACATCTAAACACAATTAAAGAAATACGAACAATTATTTATTGTGACATAGTCACAATGCCGGGTTGCAATTTTTAATTTAAAATATATGCTCTCCGCCTCAAATTACTAGTGGCTCGCCTCTGTACATAATACTTTTCCTGTTAGCGTGGAGTCGTCCCTATCATCTATATAACTAAAGACAGACAGATAGACGGACAGAAGACAGTGAGAATTTATAGGTCTACAATTTTACCAAATTGCAGCCCAATTAAAATTATTACCATTTCTCTACCCTGGTCTACCACACATTTACGAACTTTAGCAGAGTCGTGATGAGCTAAAATATTTAAATAATATAAATTAAAGAAGGTGAGAGTAAAATTTGATATTAAAAATGAAATTTTCCAACTTACCGCAATATTTTTCGAGAGAAGCTTCAACCAAAACGTTCGATAATAATAAAAAAAAGCTAAGAAAAGACAGGACAGTTTTCAATATTTTTTCCATTTTTTTTCCCTCCGAAATTATCCTTGAAGAATATATTTATATATTTTAAAATGTATAAGAAGATTGACAAAAGGACGAATCTTCTTTATTTATATCCATTGGCTTGATTATTGAATAATAAGACACACGTGATGATGTAGCATTTTTATTCACGTCATTCAATAATCAAATTGTATTTATTGGTTTATTTTTTCTCTGTCGAATTATTTAAATCTAAAAAACAAATTAAATTAAATTTTCTTGATTTTTTTATACTAGAAACCAAATTTTGAATTTTATATATATATATATAAAAGAAAAACATTGCTAGTGTCATTCTTATGCACCTTGCAGAAGGAGAGAGACAGAGAGAATTTCTATAAGATTTACATAAAGTATTGCTTCATATATATTTATTTTTGTATACAAAGTTATTTTTTTACGTTGGGAAATTACAAATAAACAGGAAAAGTTGAAAGTACAAATTGGATTCGGGTTTGTTGAATTTCTTTACAAAATAAACTGCAAACCTACGATTGTTACATAGATCTTTCTATACGTAAAAGCAGCTTACACACGACGCCAATGAACGTTTTTCTTGCAAATAAAGTTAAGAAATTCAATTTTAAAAAAGTTTTTATATTTATTTTACAAGTAAAAATATATATATATATATATTTTTCTTCTCAATATTTTCTTTTTATTTTGTGAGAAATGTCTTCACGTTATTTCTATTCAAAAACAACTTCCTTTTATTAGATAATTGTTTGTGTTGTTGAACAATGAGAGGAAAAATAGTTTTATTATTTACTTCTACTTGAGAAAAATCCAATTTTGTAATAAAAATAACAACTAAAAAGCATTCCAGAAATTATTGCTGTTTAATTGCCCCGAAATTAATTAATTTATTAGAATTGAATTTTAAAAAGTTTATTTTAAAACGATTTATTTTTATTTTCCTGTGTGATACAGAGGGAAAGTATGGCCACTGGCCAATAAATGACTCCCAAAATATTTACATTTTTGGACTGGGGACACCTTGAACCGTCGAGGAATGTGATAAAAATTCGGGTTTTTTTGTCTGTGTTTATGGATGTTATTGTGTGGGAGAGGGGGTACGATTTTGTTCGCTCTCTTTCAAGCTTAATAACTCGAGTGGTTTTTATCGAAAATTTCTGAAAATTTGCAGGGAGATTTGTGTATTAGGGGGATCGATACGATTAAATTTTGGTGGTTAAAGGTCGAAGGGGTGGGGAGATAAAAGGGGTCGTGTGTATCTCCAGTAGAGTCGGAATTAATGACGATTTTACTCGTTATTAGCATTGATAAGTTTTATAAAACCCATCCCTATCCTTAAAATTAATTTTTTGTCATTTTATAATAGTTAAAAATATAAAATTTTAAAAATAAAATATCATAACAGATGGTGCCACCAAATGTTTACGGGAAAGTTAAGCAACTCGTTGCTGGATTTTTTTTTTAAGATTCTGAACGTTAAAACTAATATTTTCTTTGCATTTTTGAGACTTAATGAGCGCTTATTTTAATATTTAAATGAGTTTTGTTATTATTTAAAAAGCTTAAATCGTTAAAAAGTAATTAAATTGTAATAAAAACTTTCCGTTTATAATATTAATTAACATAAAATCTTCGTATTAAAACGAGGAAAAAGAAAATAATATGGTCATGATTAATGGTGGAAGGATTTTAAAAATAGATACCATCTCACTTTGTGTTGATTCTTTATAGATTTAGAACCTTTCTGGTATAGGACAATAGATTTATATCCGATAGTATGATTGAAAAGGCCTTCTTTCTATTGTTAAGCCTCGAGTAGAAGTGAGGTCAATAGAAGAATAAGGTTTAATAGAAATCGATCTCGGATTGTCCTGTGGTATCAAGAGGTGTCACCGTTATAAAAATAGGTAGAGATGATTAATATCGTGTTAATTTGGTACTTAACCGTGTTAAACAAGTGTATATTTTCGTAGTTTCGCATCTAATCAACAGAACCACTACATTTCTGAATTGTCTCGTATCTTGCACTATTAGAACAGTATTAAAATTATATAAAAAGAGGTCCAGCAACGAGTTGCTTAACTTTCCCGGCAACATTTGGTGGCGTCATCTGTTACGATATTGTATAAAAATCTCGGGAGATTATTTTTTCGACCGATTGCCATACTTTCCCTCTATTATAGGGGAGACCGGGGCAACTTCGGCATGCGGGGCAAGTTTGTCAAGCTCTTTTTTTTAAAAACAAATTAAAAGGAGACTTTGGTTATAGGTTAGGCAGTTGAGTTTTATTGGTGGCTTGTTGAGTGTAGTGTTTTTATTGTTCTCCAACAAGCGTAGTTGAATTATCAAGCAAATTTTCATTTTCGTTCAATTCCATATAATATTTTTTTTCCATTTATATTGAATTGGCAGGTTTTGTTATAATTCCATGATAACGAAAGTTACTTTTCCTGTTAGAAGGATGTAACTTCAACTTATTCACGTGGCCAGATCGTGGCTTGGCATTCTGTTCTCAGGGTTGTACTTAATGTTTCGAAATCATGACTAGCGGGGTAAGATCGGCAACATAAAGCCACATTAGAAGCAAAGGATAAAAATCAAACAGATGATAAATGAAAACATGTTTGCATTTGTTATTCATGTATATATGTCTTTGAACTTGCATTTCGTTGTAATAATATTAAATGGGTGTTGGATTTGTATTTCTTTGTTTTAATAGTGAATTCCAACTTATACATTGTTAATAACATAATTTTATATACGTGCCTATCTTGCCCCATTACTGTTGCCCCTATACCAGGGGCAACTTTAATAAAAATAATTAAAATAATTACAACTTTACAAAAAGAGAGAAGTTGCCGATCTTGCCCCTATACCCGGGGCAACTTCGTCAATTTCTCTCTTCTTGTAAAGTTGTAATTATTTTAATTATTTTTATTTCCAAACTGATTTTAACCAGTTCTATAGTAAGGTAACATTCCAATAGACAATATGCAAAGCTTTTTTTCCAGTTTACAGCAATATTTATTACACAAAATTTAAGTAAAGCTTAACATGCCGATCTTGCCCCGGTCTCCCCTACATAACAGCCGGAAAAGTAATAATAGATAAAATTAATTATTATCGCATTAATTTGTCTTAAAAAGGTTGGGAATAGTTTTATATATTTATAAAACAACATTTTCACTCGTTAAATCGGGACTTTCTGAGATAAAGTTGCAATCTTAGATTATCTTACGGTATTATCACCGTGATAAAGAAGAGTTTAAAATGATTAAAAGTACTGTACATTAATTTGGCTTAGAACGTAGAAAACCTCAAGCGATCGACTAGTAGATCGCGACCCCCGAAATTTGCAAACCGTATAAATGGATAACGCGATTTTCCAACTTACTAAGGGGTACGGTCGACTAAAAGCATTGGAAAATAGCTACAAAACTAACACTTTCAATCATAATTATTTTTCAATATGTTGTTTACAGTGTGACTATATCATTCGTCCGACTCACGTTACCTCGAGTATAAATAGAAAATTTATAATCCCCACAAGCTTAAGCAACCAACACGCTTAAACTATTACTGTTTAATCATCGATTTTACTTTTGCGAAACTCCATAACACATAAATCACTCTCATAGTAACCTCGTTATTTACTTGGATTATATACTAAACTTATACATTTTAAATAAATATAAATACCAGCTTAGAAAATACAAAATTACTTTTTGTTATCTCTAGAGATCTTTTCCTTATAAAGAAAAAAAAAGAAAGAAAATAGTAAATTCTTAAAATATTCGAGTTTATTAATCGCATTTTATGCAGAAATTAAAATGCTGACAAGTATAAAACACTCGTACAAGCTTTAATTACTTTACTTAAGGAGAAAAATTCATAAGAAAGTTCACAATCTTCTCTTTCTGATTCACTCGAGCAAATAGCTAGATAAAAGCAACTTAAATAAATTATTATTTCGCTGAATTAATTATTAAATGAGCAGAAAATAAATTAAGTAACATGCAGATTAGAGCGAAAATCACTTTTATATTATCTATTCGTCACTTTGACCGTACAAAAGTCTTGGTTATAGCTTTACTTACACTTGTTTTGATACGTATTTTTTCATGAGGATAACTTTGTAAACATTCTTACTTTACCAAAACAGCATTACTGATTGCCTTCGGGTTATAAATTACATTAGTTCTGTATAAATAATGCCATTCTATACTATCTTTTCTGTAGCAAATATTTTCTTCTTGATTTTATTAAGGGTGACAAGAAAAATTTAACATTTTCTCCAGTAAGAATTCTATTCGATTTACTTAATTTAATTCTATGAGCCTATATAAAAGAATAATTTAACATTATTTTATATTCATACAAACTACAGCGAAACCTGCTAAATGTGTCCACCCGCACAAGGTGATCATTTTCGGCTGGTCTCTTTAGTAGTCATATTAGCAGGTTTCACTGTATACGTGACGTTTTATTAGCACTTGTATATATTTTTTTAATTAATAGAAACTGTGAAAAATTTATGTATTTTCTTAGCTTTAGCATAAGAAAATAGTTCAAGGCGAACTTACTATTGACGAAATAGTCATATGTCTTAATTACAGTTAAGTATGTAATCTTATAAACATCAAAAGTTAATTCGAATTCTTATATAATTGAGTATTATTCAATGTTCGAGTTGATGATGATTCACGATACACAATAGTTGGCTTGCAATCATGCGTGACTTTACGACTTAATATCTTTCTACATGGCTAATCTTTAGTAGCTATAACTTCAAATATATGAAAAATATCTCTACAAACTGTATAAAATATTAAAAATTTTAAAATAAATGATTCGGGCACTTTCTCAATTATAAAAGTATAAATTATTATTCCTCGAAATATACTATTAAATTACGGATTTATTCATTAAATTTTTCTTCTAGTCAATCTTTATTTGAAGTTTAATTGTTTTAAATCAATGCGAATGACTAGGACCAGACAGAAGTGAGATGGAGACCTTCTTCCCTTTCGATTTCTGACAGGCCCTTTCCAAATTCCAATCTTCCTTTTTTCCTTA